TGTAGAGTTGTTTTTTTTTTTTTTTTTTTTTTTTTTTTAGGATGGATTTTCTTGATACTGTTTTCTTCCCTCCCTCCTCAGAATGAAGTCACATTACTACGCAATGAGGTGGCTCAGTTGAAACAGCTGCTGTTAGCTCATAAAGACTGTCCAGTCACTGCACTACAGAAAAAGACCCAAGGCTACTTAGGTGAGTGGCTTACAACCTAAGCAAGGTCAGAATGTACTGAGTGTCTCAAATGTTTATAATTTTACTAGAGGCCCAATGCACGAATTCGAGCACCAGTGGAGTCCCTTGGCCTGGCCTGTGGGACTGGGCAGAAACCAGCTCTCCAACATCCCCTGAGGGGTCCTGGATTGCGTGAGGGGTCAGGCCAGGATGAGGGACCCCACCGGTGCACAATCAGGGCCGGGAGGGACGTGGGAAGTGAGCCAGCTGGGGAAGGACTGCAGGAGGGCTCCAGGGCATGTCTGGCCCCTCTCGCTCAGTCCCAATTGTCCAGACCCCAGCAGCAAGCTAACCTACTGATTAGAGCAGGGGTCCTTAAACTTTTAAAACAGGGGGCCAGTTTACTGTCCCTCAGACCATTGGAGGGCCGGACTATAGTTTAAAAAAAAAACTATGAACAAATTCCTATGCACACCTCACATATCTTTTTTTAAAGTAAAAAACCAAAACGGGAACAAATACAATATTTGTATTTACATGTGGCCCGCGGGCCGTAGTTTGAGGACCCCTGGATTAGAGTATCTGCCCCCTGGTGGTCAGTGCACATCATAGCGAGTGTTTGAGCAGCCTTAGAATATCATTAGCATATTATGCTTTGATTGGTTGAATGGACGACTGGACACTTTGCCTATTAGGCTTTTATTATATAGGATAACTCTATTCTCAATGTTCTGGGGGTCCAGACTGATGAGGGAGCAGCCTTTGTGGAGCAACCAGTACTGTGGGGGGAAAATTTTTTTTAGAACGTAGAACTTTCCTAATTAATCATCACAGATAAAGGGTGACTATGTTTATTGGGAATCTAATTTGTGTTAGGCACGCTACCATCTTTCTAGTTATCTCTTTTTTCTTTTTTTTTATTTCAGAGAGGAAGGGAGAGGGGGAGAGAGAGAGAAAGATCAATGATGAGAGAGAATCATTGATTGGCTACCTCCTGCACGCCCCCTAGTGGGGATCAAGCCTGCAACCCAGGCATGTGCCCTTGACCAGAATCAAACCCTTTAGTCCCGAGGCTGACGCTCTATTCACTGAGCCAGACCGGCTGGGACATCATTGATGTTTCTATCTCTCCCTCTCCCTTTCTCTCTCTGAAATCAATAAAAACGTATTGTTAAAAATTTTTAAATAGTAAATGCTTGGAAGAAAAAAATAAACGTGAAGAGAAATATGCAGTGTTGGCAGCAGGGTTGAAATTTTAGATAAGGTGGCTTTTAGGGGGTTTTTTGTTAGGTTGGTTTTGGTTTTTTGTTTTTTATGAAGTAGCTTTTGAATGAAGACCTTAAGGAAGTGAGGGAGCTAGCCATGCACTTATGTGGGAGAAAAGTACTGCAGGAAGAAGAACAAAGACAACGATCCAAAGTGAGAGCTTGCCTGGCGCATTGTAGGAACATCAAGGAGGCTGTGTGGCTGGACTGCAGAGAATGGGCCTGGAGACTAGTTGGAGATGAGATAGGGAAGGTAAAGGGAGTATCTTTGTGTGGGGCCTTGTCAGACATGGTGAGGACCTCAGCCTTTACGCTGCACTGGGACCATCAGAGGGTTTTCAGCAGAGCTGTGAAATGACTGATCTGACTCACATTTGGACAGGATCACTCTGTCAGTGCAGGGGTGCAAGGGCAGAAGCAGGCAGTCCACTCGGGAGGCTATTGCAATTTGCACAAGAGTTGTTGGAGCCTTGGACCAAGATGGTGGAAGTGAAAGTGGTGAGAAGGAGTTGAATTCAGGATATTTTGAATTTAGAGTGACAGGGTTTGATGATGGGCCAAATGGGACAGTATATATGAGAACAAGAAGAATAAAAATTACACCAAAGTTTTTGGCCCAAGCAACTGCAAGAATGTATTTGCCATTAATTGAAATAGGGGAAAGTGTAGGAGGAAATGAATTGGGAAGTATATTTGGAGCTCAGTTTTGGACAAGGTGAGCTTAAGAAGCCTGTCAGTCTTTTTGTTTGTGTTAATATTCACCAAGGATATTTTTCCCATTGATTTTTTTTTTTTTAGAGAAAATGGAAAGGAGGGAGAAAGGGAAGAAGAGAGAGAGAAAGAAAGAGAGAAACATCAGTGTGAGAGAGACACATCGATTGGTTGCCTCCTGCACACACCCCGATCAAGCCTACAACATGGGCATGTGCTCTAATTGGGAATCAAACCACCACCTCCCAGTACATGGGACGAGGCTCAACCAGCTGAGCCACACGAGCTGGGCAGAAGCCTATTTGTTTTAAAGGTGGAGTCAAGCAGACAGCTGGTTACATGGGTCTGCAGTTCAGAGGAAAGTCTGCAAGACATGACGATGGGAGTCGGCAGCGTATAGTTAGGTTTTTTTAAATACATTTGTATTGATTTTAGAGAGGAAGAGGGAGAGAGAGATGGAAACATCAATGATGAGATAGAATCATTGATTGGCTGTCTCCTGCATGATTGGGGATCAAGCCTGCAACCTGGGCATGTAACCTGACCAGGAATCAAACTGTAACCTCCTGATTCATAGGTCGATGCTCAACCACTGAGCCACCGTGGCCAGGCTAGTTAGTTTTTAATGCCATGAAACTGGGTGAGATACTATTGTCAGGGGAGAGCCCTTAGGTAGAAAAAGAGAAGTCCCAGGGCTCAGCCCCGGGGTACTACAACATTTGAGGTCAGAGAGATGAGAAGGAACCCACAAAAGTGACTGAGAATGAGCAGCTTAGAAGGTAGGAGGAAAATCAGCTGAGTAGCTGAGTGTAGTGTTCTGTAAACCAAGATTAAGTGTTTTACAATGTGTGATCAACCATTTCAGAAACTTCATGAGCTAAAGCAGGGGTGGGGAATGTCGGGCCCACAAAATCATTTGGTCTGGCCCTGCCAAGGCATTACAGGTAAGTTAATTAAATGTTTGGGACCAACGATAGCAGACTAATTTTTTTGTTATTGTTGTTGTTAATCCTCACCCGTTGATTTTGACAGATAGCGGAAGGGAGAAAAGGAAGAAGGAAGGAAGGAGCAAGGGAGAGAGATATATATAGAGAGACATCATTGATATGAGTCCCGACCAGGGCCAGGGATCCTGCAACCAAGGTACGTGCCCTTGACCTGACTTGAACCCGGGACCCTTCAGTCCACAGGCCAACACTCTATTCACTGAGCCAAACCAGCAACAGACTAATAAAATAAGTTTCATAGGAACAATTTTAAAGTCCAAAGAGACACCAACTTTGTTTTAAGGCTGCAGTAGCTGATACAGCATCTCTTTGCTACCTTCAGCCTTCTCTGTGGACCACAGCGATACATGCAGAAGCCCATTAGCCAACACAGGAGCTTTTGAACACTTTCCCATTGTTTCTTCACCTGCTCATTGCCTGTCATGCCTGTGGCCTGCAGTATAACATTTAAGATGCAAAGTAAAAATCCACAGGGTTTCATGAAAAACCCCGCCCCAAACAAACACGGCCGCAGACTGATTTTTAAGCTGATAATTTTGTATGGCTCTCGAATGATGTTATAAATATCCAGGTGGCCCTTGGCAGAAAGGAAGACGGGGGTTGAGTATCTATCGGTGTGAAATCTATATACAGTAAGTTTTCTACTCAGTCCCTACAAGAACTCTGACATGTAGTCATTCCATTAAACTACTTATTTGTTAGAGCAAAAATGAATGTAGTTCCTGCTTTATGATGTAGACATTATAGTAGGTATTCAACACAATACAAATGAGACACTGTCTCTACCTCTGAGAGACTCAGGGCTATGAGGAGATAAACATGTCAACCTGTTAGTAGGGTAAGCACCGATATCCCTGTTAAGAAAGCCCTTAGACTGGGAGCTTCCTAAGGACAGGGCTACCGTTTTATTCCTTATGTACCCCAGTGTCTGGCAGGGGTGATGCTCAGTAAATATGTGATGAATAAATGGATGTGTGCTCTGAAAGCACAAGCAGTGAGATAGTTACTTTCCTGAGTGCAACAAAGAAGGCTTCACAGATTCTAAAAGAAGACTCAGGCATTCTTCAGGTCAAACGTATACTCACTATTGGAAGTTTTCCCTCATTCCACACATCTCTATTTAAGCAGTCGTCGAGGCTGTCTGCCATTTAAGAAAGCTCCCTGACTGATGAGCAACATGGAGTTATCAGTATGCAGTTCAGATATCTGTGTTTAGTGAAATGTTATTGTTACGTTAGGTGGAGTGGCATAACTCATCGTAAATATTTTAAATCGGTAATACCTAGCTAAGTAATAGCTTGGAGGATGAACTCTTTGGGGTTTGTTGTGTTAAGTGAACCTTAGCCAAGGACTAATTATTTATGACATTATTTGATTGTAGTTTGATATTTATTAGGCTTACCTATGGTGCAATACATACTAAAGGAATATAAAAAAGAACGGAATGATTCAGTTCCTGTGCGAATTAATCAGAAAGGATACCTAAAAATAAAGCTATTTTAAATCACCTTTAATCCTGGCTGGGTTGTTCAGTGGTTAGAGCATTAACGACTCTGAAGCGTCCTAGCTTCAGCTCCTGGTCAAGGGCACGTACCTGGTCCTGGTGTGTGCAGGAGACAACCAATTAATGTGTCTCTCTCACATCAATGTTTCACTCTCTCTCCCTTCCACTCTTTCTAAAAAAACCAATGGAAAAAGTATCCTCGGGTGAGAATTAACAACAACAACAAAAATCACCTTTAAAAACATGACTAAGAAGACTGTTCCAGTAGGGCCATGGTCAGCAAACCGAGGCTCGCGAGTCACATGCGGCTCTTTGGCCCCTTAGCCGCATCTGGCTTGCGAGCCATGGTTTGCCAAGCCGCAGTTTGCCGACCACTGCAGTAGGGTAATGAACTGCATACAGAGACCTAGAAGCCAGACAGTATAATTAGCATGTTGGGGATTCGCTTTATTGGAATAGGTAGGTTAACTTATTTAGTTTTTATTTCCCTTCTCACGGCTTACTGCTTCCTAGCTCATTCATAGCTTAGAAGCCAAGATTCTGGGAAGTTTCTCCCCAATCAAAAAAAAGATAGGCTTCCTTTTCCTTCGGCCCGCTTTAGAATTGTGGCAAAAGGTAGTCTCGCCTGTTTCCCCATCCTGTTTTCTAACCACTTGCTCTCTGCTGTTTGCCCTCCTTCCCTGGCAGAAAGCCCCAAGGAAAGCTCGGAGCCGACGGGTTCTCCAGCCCCTGTGATTCAGCACAGCTCAGCCACCGCACCCAGCAACGGCCTCAGCGTTCGCTCTGCAGCTGAAGCTGTGGCCACCTCAGTCCTCACTCAGATGGCCAGCCAAAGGACAGAACTGAGCATGCCGATACAGTCGCATGTGATTATGACTCCACAGTCCCAGTCTGCGGGCAGATGATGCCTCCCCTGGTGGAGAGGTCCCCAGCCAGAGCTCGCCCATTCAAGAGCCAAGAAAGATGTCATCTTATCCCCTCCCATCTGTCCTGGACATGGCAGTATGGGGACGGGACTGTGTGTTGTGAGTAAAGGACAGATGTGGGGCTTTTCTCTTCAGCCACATGGTTGTGGACGTTGACACCTGTACTAGGAGCCTCCCAGCCCCAGAGCCACATAGATCATCCCCTAAGCGGGGGTTTCTGATGTCCTCACAGCCAAAGGCCCTTCCAGATGGTCTGAACAGTCAGTCACCCTTGCCCACGCACCTGTGCTTCTCTCTTTTAACACTAACCCTTGCACTTCCAGGTTTCAGGTTTCCCAGTTTCCTCTCTTCCCAATAAGCCATAACTGTTACCTTCTTGTTCCTTAGCAGCATGTCACTACCTGCTAGAGAGAGCCAGAATTGATGGAGTATCACCTGCTAACCCATCTCCAGCCCCCTCATGGACTCAGGACATTGTGTCCCAGTAGCTGCTTATATCCCTTTTTACCCATCCAAAATTCTAGTCAAAATACTCACTTAGGGAGATTGTAAAGTTACCTTTGATGTATGAAGTAGCAATATTTTTTCCAGCTCTTTCATAAACTTTAGCCCTTCTCCCTATCTTCTACCAAAACAAACAAACAAAAACCAAAAAAAGGAAAAAGAAACAAAACCCCAAGAGTTCTAGTCCTTTTTAATCTATTTCCAGAGCTATTTGAATACCACATTTTGTCTCTTGAGTTTTCCCAGTCTAGTGGTGGGCTCTTTTCTACTTCCCACTAAGCCTTGCAATCTCACCTGGTGGCCTTATTAGATATGGCTTGGTAGTGAAAAGGGGAAGAGCCAGGATCTGACTGGCTGACTCCTCCCCTCCCTGCTCCATCCTTCATTCTAATCATCAGGTCAGGCAGGAAATCTTGTTCCATCAGGTTAATGGAGGGATTCTTTGTGTTGTACAAGAGTTGTCTGACCAAAGCATACATATTCCTTTTGGTCAGCTTTCCGCTTCTGCCTCTCCCTCTTCGTTCTCCTGTCCACATTAATGCCTCACTCTTCCACGGCTGGCTCAGGTGCAGCCCAGGGAGGCTGTCTCTCACTTTCCCCCGTCTCAGCCTCACCCATCTGTCTTCTCTGAGCTAGGGCCTCATGTTCACAAGTGTCCCACGCCCTCTGGATCTACCTTCTTTCTCTTTGAGCTCGTAGCCTGGCCACTAGGTCTCTCTTCAGCTCTTTTCTGCTTTTTGCCCCCCTGGATGCAGTGCTTCCCCATAGGCCAACCCCCAGGACTCAGGCATCAGAGCCAGGGTCCTGGGAGGGCTTCTAAGTACAAGGTTGGATGGGGGAGGTTGCGGGGGGCGGGGGGGGTGCAGGTGCAGTACTGATCTCAGCAGAAGAACCCTGCTTGTTGAAAGGTCCAGCCTGCCTGGGAAATCGGTGACTATTGCTCTCAGACATTGTCACTTTGAAAAGTTGGGTTACAGAGGAAGAAATTCATCCCTCTGGTCTCTCTTTCTTCCCCATGAAGACTTCTCATCTTCCTTTGGCTCTGAACTATGCAATTTCTACCAGGGCCATAGGAAGCAATCCAAAGCCAGGGGCCTGTGGATAGGTATGTCAGCTTCAGTAGCTCTTCAGTATGAAACCCTTCCAGTTGTCCCAGAGCCACCTTCTGCCATCTGCCAAAGGCAAGAATGTCCTTTTCTCCATCTCTCTACCTCCATCTTAAACAAACATACAGATAACTCCCAACTTCCTTCGTTATTTTGTCTTCCAAAATTGGCTGGCATAGGGGGACGAGGAAATGTTCTGAGCTACAAGATTGCCATCTCCTCAGTGATAAACTGGTAAGCCAGTCAGGTGACATGTTCTACTGCATTGTTTTTAATTTCCCCTTTCAGAGCCGGTGCTGAACAAGCCACACCTGGTGAAGAGAAAGGAGAGAAACGTGGTTTTCTCATACTCTACCACCCGGGACCCAGCAGGAACAGCCCCTGAGGTGACTCAGATTAGCAAATGGCGTGGCAGATGGTCAGGATGCAGGTTTCCGCCTCCGGGGACTCCACTCGCCTGTAAAATTCACAGCCATAACTTGTGCTCAGGGCTCTCAGACGCTGCTCCCAGACTCTTCTGCTTTAGTTTGTTTCAGTTTTTTATTCTATTGATTTCCCACCAGCAGCCTTGCCCTTAAGCTTGACTGAGTTTATGGCTCCTAAGGAGCCTTCGTAAGACCTTTCACTATTTTCTTCCCCTTCAGTCAAGTGTGTTTCAAGTGCAGACTCTCACACAGGCCCTGCCTCGCTGCTGGGCGCTGGAGGAGGCTGTCCTGCCATCTGCCCCTGCGTAGGATGGCTCATTTACGTAGAGGGTCTCAGCTCGTTCCTTAATTAGCCCCATGTCTGATCTCATTTTCATCAGTGGGAAGTTAGCACTGGGGACCTCTATGCGGGGCATTGACAGACCTCAGTAGAAAAGCAGCAGTGACTTGAGGAAGGGGCAGGACAAGCCTCCAGACAGCTCTTCAGTTGGCCCTCGGTCTCCCTAAGAAGACAGAGCAATTGCTTACCGTGAAGCCTCTCTTATATCAAGGGGAATGTTACCGACCTTGTCCTTGCTGCCAGCCATGTGGCCACTCTTCCCTGCTCTTTGCCTTCCAGACTCATCTGGACCAGAACCAAACATCACGGAGGGTGTTATTTAGCCCTTTTTAGGTTGCCTAGGGAGCCAAGGGAAGACATTTCTGAAAGGAGCTGGGGTGTGGACCCTAGGACTCTTCCAAGTGAACACAGACCAGGCCTCTCACTTCACTCCAAAGACACAGCTGCTAGACATGCAAGGCCAGAAAGCAGGGGTGGGGAACGTCCGGCGTGCAGGCCATTTAAGGCCCATGGAATCATTTGGTCTGGACTTGGCAAGGCATTAGGGGTGAGTTAATTAAATGTTTAACCAAATATAGATGGCTAATTTTTTTAAGTTAATAATTTTTATCACCCTTGAATGATGTTATACATATCCAAATGGCCCTTGGTAGGAAGAAGGTTCCCCACCCCTGACCTAGAGAAAGGGGCCAGAACCGGGCGTGGTGTGCAGGCTTCTGCCCATTTCCTGGAAAGCCTGAGAAGCTTCCCCACAGCTAGGAGAGACGGAAAGGGCAGGCGCTTCTTTACTGACTCTCCCGTGTTGGTTGTATAACCCAGATCTGGCTTCCTTCAGCTTCTGCTCCTCTTCTTGGCCCGAAGACTAGACCATCTTCTCTCAGAGGTGGTAAAAGAGGTGACCTAACTGAACCTCACCTTGTTGCCTTCCTGTGCCTGTTGTGCTGTTCTTGGCTCCTTTCCTGATTCCCTGCCCTCCAGCACCACTCCTAGACGGGTGCTTCATCGTAACCGGCCTGTTTACAGCCTGCCCACCAAGCAGACCCGAGGCATTCTCCTCCGGCTTCTGAGGCCTGTGTCCCACACTGAGAGGCTCCATTAAAGGTGCTACCCTGAGACAGCTCTCCCCCCAAAAGCTCTCCCTTTCTTTCAGAACTTCCTTTCCATCCCCACGTCATTATTTCCCATTAATATTGTACATTGTATACACAGGAAGGAAAGTATTGTTTTTTATTTCATAATCAGTCTGTTTAGAATCCAGTCCTTCTAGCTATATCACATATGCCTTTGTTGATGTGCTCTTTATGCTTTCTTTAGACTTTTGTTTGACGGGGCGGAGGGAGGAATAAGATAAGTGAGGATCCTCAACCTCCCACACCTTAATCTCCCCTCAGAGTACAGAACCGATTCTCTGTTTCTGTTTACAACACACACGTGCACACAGACACAAATCCCCCTCCCAGGGTGCTGACCCAGCTGGAATGAGCATAGGTGGCTGCTGGCCACCATTCCCACACTTTGTACCACTTCATCTCTTTTTGGGAAAAGAATGAGAGAAGGCTGGGGAGAGTAGGGAAGGTTAAGGCAGCTTATGTCCTTTGTAGAGGGAGATTTGTATTGTAGCTGGTAGGGTTGGTTTTTAGTGGGGGCTGGTAGCACAGATATCTTACCGGCATCAGCTGCTACTGGAGAGTGAGGTGGTAGCTGTAGGAAATGGCTATGAGCACTGGTTTCATTGACTTTCCCTTCGGGCGATGGTTCCCAGCACATGGGGCAGGACAAGCAGCACCAGCGTCTGGGAACTTGTGAGAAATGCACATTTGGGCCCCACCCCTGACCTGTTGAATCAGAAACCCTGGGGCTGGGCTCTGACAAGCACTCCGAGTGGTTCTCATCACGCTAAAATCTGAGAACCACCGCCCTCAGAGCAAGCTCGGAAGTTCTTGTAGGAGGTCAGGACTATGAGTACCATCCTCTGCCTTAGCACGAACATGTGTATTTTTCCATTTCCTCCAGTCCTTCTCTTCACCGCCATTAAAACAACCACATCATTCATCTGGAAATCTAGGTTTGTCTTCACCCTACTTATCCCTAAACCCTGTCCTGCATCGGTCTGGGCAGGTGTTGTCCCATATTCCCTTGCAGACTGGTCACTCCACACTGTTACAGGAAGGACCAGCTGGAGTTTAGCTGTTCAGTTCTCTCTCACACACACACCCCTTCAGGCAGGGAGACGAGCCTCCAGCCCCAGCAGCAGATGCTGCAGCCTCCTGATATAGTATCTGTTGAAAAGAAAGCAGTGTGTATCTATGGTTATATCTCTGCTCGTCTGTATATCTTTGACATGTAGCAAAACCTCTCCATCTCATCAAGGAACTCCACTGGGGGTCAGAGTCTCCATAGTGGTGGTCTTTGACAGGTGGGAGCATGCAGTGCTACAGGCTATTTTGTTACAAAACCATGGTCTCCCTCTCCCCTCCACCCCATTCAGCATGACCCCTGTGAGCAGGCTCACAATCCCCCAGGACGGGCTGAGGCAGAGGCTTCGCTCCGTTCCCCCTCCCCGTCCCTTCTTCCCTCCCCCTTGCCACTCCGCAGCTACCCCAGCCAGGCCGCCCCCTCTCCCTTGCCCTGACATATATTGTGCCTTATTTATGCTGCAAATATAACATTAAACTCTCGAGAGAACCACTGTTATGTCTCATGTTTCGATCCTCTGATCTCCAAGTCCCACTCACTTCCTGGGGACTCATTGGGCTTTCACGTCTGAACTTCCTCACTTTCCCATTTCTTAAAACAGAAGGAGCCGGGATTCCTACTCTTCCTTTTCACGCAGTGAAAACACAGTCTGGAGAAGGTGGTGGCTTATATAAATACATAACACAACCCAAGGCAGGCTCAGATCTGTGCACTGCCCTGGGGACAAGGGCCCAGAGCATCCTGGGAGCACTCACTAGAGGAGGTGTGTGCTTGATGTGGATCGGGGATGAGATGGTGTTTGAAAAGCAAGTGTCCTCTCACCTTTCAGTGTTTTGTACCCACTCCCCCCCCCCCAACAATTTTTTTAAAACAACAAAAATAAGCCCTATCTTCAAGAAGTTTCCAACATGACAGGGGGATGCACAGAGACCAGAAGAGAACCTTTCTATGATTGTATAAATTCTATGGGCACTGGGGGGGCCGGCGTTGGTTAGAGAGCAGGTAAGAGTTTTCAAGAAAAACAGGTAGCACTGGCCAGTGTGGCTCGGTTGAGTATCGTCTCATGCACCAAGAGGTCGCTGGTTCGATTCCTGGTCAGGGCACATGCCCGGGTTGTGGGTGTGGGCTCGCAGTGAGGGGGGTGCAGGAGGCAGCCGATCAACGTTTTCTCTCTTTCTGTTTCCTCTCTCTCTCTCTCTCTCTCTCTCTCTAAAATCAGTAAAAACATATTAAAGAAAAAGAAAAGAAAGAACAAGAGGTAATGCCTAGGAACCATATGGAGTATGGAGGTGTAGGGCAGTCACTGCTAATTGGAGCGGTGTATTCCTTAGTAACTATCACAAGCGCGGAGAGTGAGCCAGGCTGAAGAACTTGACCAGGAGATGGCAGGTGTCTCTGGGTTTCCCAATAGGAGAGAAATTTTCTAAGAAACTGTGGCTGATGTCGGGATTAATTGACACAAATAGGGAGACTGAGTCTCCTAACTTAGAAGTAGGAAAGGCAGACGTGGTCTTCATTGTGTTGTGGTCAGGAGCACACGGAGGGCCAGGGAAGGGTCAGAAAGGAAGTTGCCGAAAGCCAGATCCTGAAGCCAAGAGGAAGAGGTTTGGGAGGGTTGGGATGAGACTCTGAAGGCAGGGCAGTTTCCCATGAGAGCAGAATCAACCCATTCCAACTACTAACCATAGACCAGTCACCTCCATCCTCAACATAGGAAGCCAGCTAGGTCAGCTCATTTCTTCTTGTGGCCGCAGCTCAGACAGTGGTGTGCTTGGTGATCAGAGAAATAGAGAGGAAGCAGCAGGGTGGTAAACCTTGAGTGCCTGCTCTGTGCTAAATGGAGAGCTAGATGCTTTGCATCATTTACTGTTCATAGCAATCTCTTGATAATAGGAGTAGTTGCCTCATTTTATTGATGATGAAGTGAGGTTAAGGTTAAGACATTTCCCCAAGGCACAGAGTGAAGTGCCAAGAGCTGGGATTAAAATTGAATTCTGTCGGACCCCAGAGCTGCTCTTTGCAGTGCTCCCCCCACTCTGCTCCTCTGGACTTCTGTGGGGCCAGATCCATTTCCCACAGAACCATCTACCTATGGTCTTAATTCTCCCCTTTAAGAAGTGGTGAAACTGCAAGATGCAGTGGTGAATGCCAGGTTCTGTGCTTGGGACCAGCGTGAGACAAGCTCACAGAAAGGTTCCCCTAGCTTAGGCTGCTTTCATAGAAACGTAGTATCTAGAGCATCCAGATCAAAACCTGATCTAATCTACCTGCCCAAAGTACATGTTGGTTTACAAATGCCTTACTTTAAAGAGAGATGCCTCCCCTTGAACAAAAAAAGACTATAGAGTAGAAGAATGAAATGTCTTCAAACCTGTGAAAGGCTTGCATACATGAAAGAATGGAGAGATGATCTGTGAGACTTAAGAGGCAAAACTAAGACCCTCTGGTGGAGGCCACCAGGAGACGGAAACCAGCTCAGTGCAAGGACACCTCTGAGAAGACCCAGGAGATGGTAAGTTCCCGGGACTCGGGTGTGTCAGCTCCTCACAGCTAAGGTTCGGAGGACGCTTGCTCTGTCAGATCCTCTACTGGATGGACGACCAGAAGTATCTCAGATAATGCTCGTCCTAGGAGGCAGTTCTTCATGTCGCCGTGTCCTGGGTGAAGAACTGCAGGTCAGAGGTAGACAGCTGCCAAGGCCGGGTACAGGCTCCTTACATCATGGCACCTCTCCAGGATGGGACAGAACTACTGGGGAGTGTGGGGGAGGGATCCTAGGATCGGAAGGGAAAGGGCACCAGCTGACTTGAAGGACCCCTTCCTGAGAAGCAGGTATTTCCCAAGGCTGGGTTCTAGTCTCGCGCCCCAGTAGGTCAGAGCCAGGCGGAGGCGGGGTGACTAGAGCGAAGTGGACAAAATCGGGGTCCAGCCCCTGTGTTCTGCCCCTGCCTGTCTGGAACTCCGTAGAATCGGGGCCCTAGGCACCTCCATCCACCTGGTCCTTCAAAGAGCTCTAGTCCAGAAAAGGAAATGGCTGGGCCTGACAATGTGGAGCTGTGGCCACAGGGTGGCAGCAGTGCCTCAGCTGCGGGGATGGCTCCCGAGCCCCAGGTGAGGCAGGTCCTAGGCAAGCAGTTGCCCTCTAGTGAGGAGGGGGTCCGTCTACAAAGATTTGAAGCAATCCCCACTCTGTGAGCTCCCCACTTTCGTTTTGTTCCCTTCTGCATGTCATTTTCCTATCCACAGGCAAATCTCAGGGTAGTGGCTCCAAGAGGCACCTGCAGGGGTGTGGATGGGCTGGGTGACCTTGGCTGCAACCATTAGGGGGGGGACCCTGGCTGGGTCATCCCGGCCACCTCTGACCCTAACTCTTCTCCCCACTCCCTCTGTTCCAGGACACAATACCTAGCCCTTCCTGACAGGGCTTTCTTTATGCTTTTATTCTACAAGTTAGAAAAGAGAGGAGGAGGTGATCAATTGGAGCTCTCCAACCTGTTGAGGGATTGGGGGTTCTTAAAGGCCCCCCAGGGCCTGGCGCTGACAAAGCATCTGCAATTAATGATGCTCCTCAAGCTCTGGAGACAGGATTTATGCATCTAATAAAGTCTGTAATTCCAGGCTTAGGGGCTAGGGCCGGAGGCTGAGAGCAGGAAGTCCCGGAGGGGCCATGGGAGGGGATCTCAGGGGCTCTTAATGGGGCCGTGCATTTCCATTGCCTGCTCTAGATTCCCCCTCCAGCTGCGGTGGGGGTGGCGGGCAGGGGGACAGCAGGTATAAGAGGCAGATGTGGCCGGAGGAAGGCAGATGACAGCATGGATTCCAGGCAGGCAGCAGTGCTACTGCTGGTGCTGCTTTTAGTAACAGACTGGGGCCACGCTGAAGGACCAGGAGGCCAGGGTGGAGATCACATCTTCGTGGTAAGTTAGCGCCCCTCCCCACGTCACTTTTCCTCTCTACCTCAGCATGGGGCTTGTGCTCTAGGTTCAAACACTTGTGGCCAGGGTCTTCATTTGAAGAAATGGCTACTCAGCCTCCTACAACTTGTCACTGGAAGCCACATCCTTCCCCTACTGACCTGAATGTCCAGTCTTTGCCCATATTCCCTGCTGGATGTCCCTGTGCCACAGGAGGAAGACGCCAGACCCCGCACGCCACAGGATGCCGAGACCGCTGCGTCACTCTTCCTCTCCCTGCTCCAGGCCATGCAGAGACCCGGCCGGAGCCCAGCCTTCCCGTTTCAGCCCCAAAGGTGAGTCTGAGAGGGACACAGGCATGGCAGGGGCCAAGGGAGGGTCGGGGGAGGGGGCTAGAGAAGGAACTGGAAGGACCTACAGCTGAAGATGGATCTCTCCTAAGGTTTGGCAGAAATACCCAGGGCTCTGGGAGCAACGACCGGCTGATTACCCGAGCTGGGGAGGGGCTGAGCGCCCCGTTCTGGAGTCTGGCTGCCCCTCAGCGCTTTGGGAAGAAGTGACATATCATCTCTTGATCCATCTGCATGCAAGGCCCACACCCAAAGTGCCATGTATCCCCCCTCCCCCCAAATAAAGCTGCCTGGCTTCTGAATCAGGTGTCTGTGTCTAAGACTTGATGGGGCTGGGCGGGAGCCCATGGCAAGAACCACAGTCCATCTCCACCAAACTCTCCAGAAACATAGGTGATGGGGTTCCCAGAAGTCACTGCCCCCAGCCTCCTGCCAGCAGAAAAGCAAGCACGGGGACATGTGCGGAACAAGGTGGGGAAGCAAAGGGGAGGTGATCTGGCACGAAACTGCCATCAACCACTCAGGGAAACAGGAAGATCAGGGCGTAAGGTTCCGAGGAGCAGCACATTTATTCTGGGCTCTAGGGGACAGTCCAGTGTCATTCCCCTCCATCACCACCGGTAACATGAGGACGGATCCTGGGCCACTGAGGCACTGTGGTCCCTGGCTCCTGGGCCCATGCCCTCCTCGGCCTGTGGGGAGGCAGTCTGTGTCAGAGGTAGAGATGGCACCTCCAGAGGGTACCCGAGCTGGGCAGAGGCCTGGGCCGAGAGCAGGAAGAGCAGAGAGCGAGGCTGTATGTCCATGAGTCCAGCTGGAGCTTTACTTGCTGCCCGCCATGATCTTGAGGTACTGCAGGGCACGGCGAGCAGCCTCGCCACGAGCTGCCTCCCTGGTGGCTGCAGAGCCGTGACACACGGTGACCGGCTGTGTGGACAGCTCCACCAGGCACTGGCAGAGCCCACTTAGGCTCAACTCCTCTGGAGACCAAGAGAGAGGAGGAGGCAGTGTTGGGTGGCGAGGCAGCACCGGGGGTGGGGGGCTGTGATCTGTGCCACCATCATGCCCTCCCCCCACTCCTTATACCCATGTGTACTTGCTCTGGTCCAGTCCCCACCATCCCCCGGCCCTCCAACTAGCCATACCAATATCCAGGTAGCTGACATGGAAGGCCTGCTCCTCAGACAGCTCGCTGAGGACACTGCAGCAGGCAGGGCCCAGGGCACCTAAGGAGCCCAGGGAGCAGCTGCGGAGGGACAGGATCTTCTCTCCCACCGAATTGCGCAGAGAATCCCAGGTGCAGCCTGGGCCCCGGTTCCGAAGTCCATCCAGGCGGGAGCCCACACCCTGATGAGATGAAAACAGTGAGAAAGATGCGGCACTGGACTGGGAGGCCCTGGCATTGAAGAGACATTTAAGGTCCCCGGAGAGAATAGCCCAAAGAATAGTACCTCCAGCCTGCCTCCCCTCAGTCAATTCCCATTTGACCCCCTACCCCTATCAGACCCTGGACTGGACGGCCAAGCTGCCTTCCTCATCGCAGGAACAAAAGCCTACAGGCCCCTGGCCTGCACCAGCTCCCCCAGGGCACTCACCAGGTGGGCCTACCGCTGAGGCTGAACGGGAGCCCCAAGAACCCTGGCTCCGATAGGAAAATGGACAGAAGCAGGCCTGGGACCCAGAAAGCTCACGCCCGAGTCACAGAGCTGAGTCCCCAGTGCCCTGGCCTGGCAGGGAGGAGGCCCCCAAGCCACTCACGATGGAGAAGTGATCGTCGTCAGGCTCTGCCTCATTCCCATCCCGGGCATCCAGAGGCACCGTGTGCACGCGCAGCAGCATTTTGGCGGCCGCGTTCCGCTTTGCCAGCTTTTTGGAAGTGCCGCTGCCTGCAGTGGGGAGAGGGTTACGGATGACAACTCCCAACAGACTCAGTGCTTTCCACCAGGCTCAAATCTGGGTTGAGGGTCCCCTGAAGAGATACCGATTAGAAAGGGGAGCTCAGGACCTGCCAGGCACCTGAGAATTTGGTTGGCCAGAGAGGGGGGAAGACAGGGCACAAGGAAGAAGCTAAGGGGAAGGAGCCAAGCTGGGGGTCTCAGCCAAAAGCGCGGGGCTGTAGGACAGCAGCTAGGCGCTGCCTGTGGCCAGGACTGGAGTGTTGGGGGACAGGAGCTGCAAGAACGCCCTTCTGCCCAGTTACCAATCTCAACGAAGCGCTCCACTCTGCAGGTCATGGTGAACTCTTTGCGGTGGGCTGGCCCAGACTCCTGAGTCACCGTGTACTCAGGCAACCGCCAGCCCTTCTGCACCACCAGCTCCTTGGAAGGGAGAAATATGGGTGGGCAGGCTGAGTGAGAAGAGTCCAAACATCCTTTCCCTCCTACCCTAGGAGCCTCAGATTCCAGACTAGAGGAGGAATAAATGGGGTGACAAAAAGCCCTCAGGAAGGGCAAACACCCCCATAACCTTCCCTCAGAGCCCCTGGTTCAAGGGAGGGCAGGCATGCACAGGAAATGAGGAGGGGGCACACCTGCAGAGCACCAACAGGGTTGCACTCAGACTGCTGAGGGGAGACAGGGGGCGGCACCTCCATGGGGGGGCTCCTGAAGGAAAAGGGGTCCAGGGCCAAAGCTGAGGGGCCAGTTTCTTCTGCTGCAGCCCAGGAGTCCTCAGCCTCATTTCGGTTCCCCCCACTCCAACTTCCAACTCCTTCCTCCCCCGCCCCTGCAAGTGAGGTCTCCTCCAGGTCCCAGGCCCACTTCAATATTCTGGAACATGCGATCATCACCTCACAGGACCGTGGGAGAGGGGCTCAAACACAGGACCATCATGGGGCCAACTCAGAAGAAAATGGGGCCTGCGAGACCCTTAACATGGGTCAAACATCATCCATGTGGCCATTTAAAATCACTGGTTACCGCCTGTCCCAAGAGCTTACCAGCTGGTGCAAATTCTTCAAACTCTGGTCCCCAACTACTCCAGCCTCTGTTTACTCTCAGACTTCCTCAGGCCTGACCAGCCCGGGTCCAAGGGCTGGGGGCCAGGAGCCAGGACCCATTCCTCCCCCCTCAGGCAGTCAGAAGACACAAGATACCTGGTTGGGAGAGCAGATGGAACAGGAGTAGCAGCCGCTGCAGCAGTGAAAACCGGACCGTCCTCAGGCAGTGAAGAGTCTAAGGGAGAAAAAGAACTTCCCGAGGGGAAGGGAGCCTCTGCTTCACACCCTTGTGGGGCGGGGACAGGGAAAGGGCGGGGACCCAGGTCCTCCTGACCCGCTCATCCCCTAAGAAAACTCCTTCCCATTTGAGTCAAAGACTCAGGGAAGCTCAACCACCAGCTCTTCCTCCTGGGATCCTTTGCTTGCCAAACCCTGGATCAAAAAGACTGAGAAAAGGAGAAAGAGGGTCTCTCTACCCAATAACTATAGGAGCAAAAAACTCCAACCTCAGTGCAGAAGAGGAAAGGATATCTTGCTAGACAGAGAAGGCAACTCCCTCCAGCCTCAGCCTCCACCCCTCTCCCTCCTTAGCCTGAACCCCAAACCACAGCCACAATCCCTCAGTGGAGCTGGCCATTCCCCCCTGGAAGCACCCTGCTCAGGTCCAGAGGAAACTCAGGAAGAGAAGGTCAAGGTGGCTAAGTGTCACCAGGTCACGCCTACTGGGCAAAGGGGCTGATGCAGGGGCCTGGGTCCTGGCAGGGCCTCTAGGATGCCTCAGCTGTTCCTCCCTCACCTGCTGTCCTCCAGGGCCGGCTCCAGCATGCTCCCCCCTTTGAGGTGTTTGAGGGCCACCTCAGCTGCCTTGTGCTTGGCTGCCTTCTTGCTGGGGCCCTGACCTGAGAGAGGGGGCGTGGGCAATACTGGAGGTCACTGGAAGAGAAACCAGCATCCCACAGCGTCTCTCCTCACAGATACAGCGAGTCAACCAAGCTCCTTCTCACTGACCTCCCCCTGTCCGACTGGAAGTGTTCTGTGAGCTCCCCAAATCAAGCCATGCCGGACAGAAGTGCTCCTGAGCTCAGACACCCTGGGTGGAGATTCTTTCTCTGCCTTACTTTCCTTTGGGAAACACTTTCTCTCAGTAAATAGAAATGGCTGGAAAAATAGAAATAAGGTAGGTTCTAGCGTCAAAGCCTGGCTCTGACTTACTAAGAATGGGGCCTCGCACCAGTCACTGAATCCCTCTGAGCCTGTCTCCTCCTAGTCAACAGGATAGAACTACCACCTACATCACTGCATTCGACTAAACAGGAATTTAATTAAGCACCTGCTACGGGGCCCAGCACAGCTGACACTCACTCCCCAAACTTCACTGAGATTTCGGTTTATCTCCTTTCCCTCTCGGATGCCGACGACCGGCCAGATCACTGTGGCAATCTTGCTTGCTCCTCTAACTCTCCCAAGTCCTACCCACCTCCTCACAGACCTGATCTCCCCATCCAGTCGGTGGCTTTTCCCCCTGAAACCTCCCCCTCCCTCACTGCTCTTGGAGAAGAGGACTGTGAAGAGACTCCAAGAAATAAAGCCAGTGGGGCCCTGTGAATGAACACCCCAGCGAGGCTGGCCCACGCCTTCCTCACCAGTGCAGCTGGTGTCGCCAACGGTGACCCGAAAGGTGAAATTAGGCTGGTGGGCTTGGCCCTCGGCTTTGAGAAGGTCGTACACGGGCGTCTTCCCTATTCTGGTCCCATACTCCTGCAGAAGGCTGATCGGGGTCTTGCCTGGGTTGGCTGCCAGCATTTGCTCTATACTGGGGGGAGGGGCACAGACCCTCATCACACCTCCCCTCTCTGCACCCACCTGGCCAAGCACGGCTATATCAGACCCAGGCACACTATGGGGGTCACAAGGTCCAGGGGACCCTAGGCAGTACAGCAGTCACAGGCTAGGTTCAGTGTGTAGAGGTGCAGGCTGGGAAAGCAGGGTCCACTGCCCTAGGGCAAGCGGGGAATGCACTGTTCCTTGTCTCAGTTAAGGCGGGGGATCCTGCACCCGAGTGCAGGTTAGAAGTGCATGTCCCCTAACACAGTGCGGCCAAGACCCCAGTTACCCACCAAATGCACTGAATGTCGGGGGCATGAAGCCCAATGCCCAGTGCAGTCTGGGAACCGGACCAGCCCCAAACTATTTCGAGCTGGAGGCAGTGGCCACTGCTCGGGTGAATGCCGGGAACCACGGCCCACTACCCCAGTGCTTGCCGGGAACAACCCTCAGGCCAGGTGCATGCTGGGGCCGCGCCGCTACCCCTCCGCACAGCGCCACGCTCTTCGCCCTGCAGTGATGGATGCAAGGCCGCTCACCTGGGCAGCCCACAGCCGTTGGTAGTGCCGGAGCCCTGCTCCTCTTCACTCATTCCCTCCTCCGTCCCCGCGGGCGCCACCGTGACTTCTGCCTCCACGCGCCCCAATACACCGCCGACAGGCTAGGGCCGGGAAAAGGGGCATTCTGGGATATGGAGTCCCCCCGCCCACCCGACTCTATGAGTCTCCATCAGCAGGGGAGCTATCCGCCCCACAACCCTCCGCGTGGTCCGCCCTCGCAGGCAGCACCGCCTTCTGGGAGGAGCGGGCCCCTACACCGCCGCTCCCCGGGATGAGGGTGGGTTGTTTGTTTTAAATACTATCCCGCCTCCTTCCTTCCGCGCCTCCTCTCCCCTGGCTGCGGGGGGTGGGGTGGGGGAGGCTCTGGGCATGCGCAGTAGCAGCGTGGAAGCGGCGGAGCGGGCGGTAGGGCTAATTCCGGCGGGGGCGGTACGGGGGGCAAGGCTTCGAGCGCTCAGAAAACTACCGAACCCAGGAGCTCGCGTGTCACGTTTGTCGCAGCTGGAGGGGCAGGGTCCAGCCTGCACGAGAAGCTTCCGGCGCAATTGGTTATTCCCGACTGCGCTCACTTGCTCTAGGTGTGTTGCGATTGGTTACTTCCCCCGAGGGGCAGGGACAAGGAAAAAGTCAGTCCCCTTGACCCCGCCTCTTTCTGGAAGAAGGGTTGTGATTGGCTCGTGGTGAGACTGCTGTCGGGTCTGACTGTCCGCGGTCGGCGAGGGGAGGCCTGACCTGGGCGCGGAGAGCACCGTCCTCTGTCCCTCCGAGTGCAAGTCCGGCTCAGACAGTTCGCCCTGGGCGCTCAGCCCAGGCTCCTGGCGTCCGGGCCTTCGTCTCACAGAACCTGATTCCTTCCCCGGTTGTCCTTTACCTCTCGCCCCATTGAACTCTGCCCCGCAGCCTGTCGGTGTCCGTTTCTCTTCTAAAGCCTATTTAGAGTGAACCTTTCTGTGGCTGTGCCCGAGTTCACCCTAGTGAGCCTTGCTGTGGCGGCCAGGAGACCCCTCCGGAGCCTGAGAATCAAGGGCACGACGGGATTGGAAGGACGAAAGCACGTGCTGGTCTCGTTTCCTCGGCCTTGGGTCTTGGGTCTCAGTTGAGAGCAAAAGAAAATTTTGGCCTCTTAAAACAATCGACTGATCTGGCTTTCCGAGGTCCAGTCCCTCCTTCCCAAAGTCTCACAACCACTGAACTGAAAGGTGAAGGAAAATCTTGTGACCTTGCAGAGAAAGAGATCACGAAAAATACCCGATTCTAATGAGTGTTCTGAGCATGGGTCAGGGAAGAGAAG